AGTAATTAACTTATCTAGGCAAGGGTGCTGTTCAAGGATTTCAGATGTAGGAAGGAAGTGAGGAGAAAGGTCAGAGACTTGACCCAGACAAGAACCCTTTGTTAGTGACCTGAACCTCGCCAGTTGCACATGTATTTGCCCGCCCAAGTCAAATATGGGACACGAGCAGGAATAATCAATATACAGAAGTCTACTGGGTGGTAATATGAAGACTTTGATTCAAAGGCTGAAATGGTCTGGAGCATCAAAGTCTTGTTAAAAACTATTGATCCATTTGTCTGATTACCATTGGCTACAGACAAATCCAAACAGCGTCGTATCTCTGTTTGATCAATGTGTGTGTCTGCAATGTGATGCAACTGTTCAACTGTAGTATACCAGCTGACCTCAATGGACTGTATGTGCTTAACAACTGTTGATTGTTTAATGAGGGAATATAACCTGAAGTGATAGAGAAGATCCAACAGGCCAGAAGTGCTTCCACTGAGTGATTTTCCTCCTGGTTAGGCTCTAGTATGATGTACACCCAGCGGGCAGTGTACACATTGACGGGTGTTAAACATATCCCGCTGTCTAGTGTCAGTTTTCCTGTGTCTGCTGCTGTTGTTGGGATGTAGCCAGCTTCCTAAAAATCACTTTCTCTTTAAATAGATCACAAAAGGTGATTTCTACCCCGCTCAGTGGAGAGTAGAGGGGGGACGAGGTGTGAACTATCAGGTCTTACAGCAACAGCTGGAGTCTCAGCTCCCTGGGTGAAATTACAGAACTCCTCCTATAGAAAATGTGAAAGAGAAGTTTAGCGAGAGCTTCGGATCTGACAGCTACTAAGGTGTGGAAGTATTTCATTAAAACGAGGTGTCAGAGAAAAACGAGTCCTCCTCTAAATGATTACTGGTGATTGTGATCTTTTCCTAATGAGAAAGGTGTCTTTTATAATCTAAATGATTGTGCAGAATTAAGATCATCACAGTGAGCTCCTCTGATTTTTTTTCTTCTTCTTTTTGCTACTTGCAGCAGTATTGTTGTCAGTATTTTCATGAAACACTTGAAAGAGTTTCTACCTTTTACAAGCCTCTTTAAGGCAAATGAATGCAGATTATATCCAGGATAAGCACATGTGTGAGAGGTGGGTTAAAAGGTGTTAAGTAGCAATTAATCAGGATTTTTGACCCAGGATCTCACAGGTCCTCTTAAGCTAATAACCAAGTTACACGGTGAGAAAGAGGATGGATGTCGGTCTCTGTGGAACTTTTTTTCTTCTTCTTATCTTGTTAATACTTACTGTTTCTTCAGAAACCAAAACTCTTTAAGTTTTCTTCACACAGCGCATTGTGGTCCATAGTAAGCCACACACTGGTGTGTAGATCGGATCTGGAAGTGTGAGGAGTTTCAGAGGAAAAGCCAGCAGGATGTTTCAGGCCTCCCGGGTGCTTTGTAGAGGCTCTAACAGACAGTGAGGAACATGGGTGTTGACAGGGGCCCAAGTGAGTGCTGTAATACGCTGTACATCTCCATTTGCACTTCGTGTTTTGGAGCTGCCTGCTCGTGTGTTGTAGGTGGATGCTTACATGCCTATAAAAAATAACTCAACTCACTTCTTTCATTTGCAGGACTGCCTTGCAGCGTTGCCTTAGATTAATGTAGGCCTACATTTGTTAAAAATATTTATATCTATATATTTTTAGTAAGTAGACTTTTTAAATGATTTACATAACTGTATCTGTATCTCTTTTTAACAGAGGGAACCTTCAAATAAAAGATAAATCTATTAGTAGGAAAGGTACATCTTTCAGTGTTAAAACTGAATGTGACAGTGAATACGTGTATGTGTGCATATGCCATGTGTTGTTAACATAAAAAGATGCTCTTTTCATGTCAATCTTTTACACATCATGTATTTATGCATCAGAGAGAAGTCTGTCTGCCTAACCACTGCAGAGTTTGACTGAACTAAATATTGCCAAAAAAAAGTTCTCCAGTAATTAGCACTCCTATAATATGGTATCTGTAGTATCTATATGGTATTCTACTCACAGTTGAGCAGCAAGTTGGTTCTATTCATCAAACACCAGCGTCTCCTTGAGAGGGAAACAGATTGCGTGCTGGCCTGATACAGACTTCATCAGGTCATCTGAATTGATGATGCATGTTGCAAGGCGGCTGCGTTCCCCCAGAAACCGCTGTTGGAGTGCTTGCTGGCAGAGACGGGGGCCTCGGCCAAGTCTGTCTGACTGATCACTACAGATGCTCCTCTTCAAGTATTCCGAGTCAGATCCTTAGTGCCGGGTCTTGAGGGACAAACAATAGCACCTGTTCCTCATAAGATAGCCCATTCATGTATCTTTAATGAAGCCTGGGGGCAGATGGTGTGAAATGCCATTATCCAGTACTTAGCTGTGCTATAAGACAAAGGAAGAGCAGTGCCAGCACAACAATGCAGACGCATTTACGAGGAGAAGGGAGGACGCTGCCGGAGGGCCGCGCTCACATCTGCTCCACTTCATTCTCCAGCTCCTCAAGATCATCTTGGCAATAGAAGGATCCTGGGCACTCAGCCCACACATAGATGAACTTGAGGGTAACTCTTAAAGGGGGGAGGCGGATTTTACAGACGGGAGAAGAAGCCACACATACATACTCAATTTTTAAAAATATATATATCTTTATGTGTTTCTTCTACTTTACTTTGACAGTCAAATTAAAAAAGACAGCACTTGTGAAAATGTAATAGAACCTGCTCAGCCACTGTGCCAGCTGTTAATTGACAGCTCAACTAACCTCCGCTATTTGTTGCCACCTTGAAGCTCCTCAAAATTTGATTTGCCTTTCTCTGACATTAGTTGCCGTAAATTAAACTTTAATGCACGGAGCTCATTACTGCAAATCACGGCCGTTCGAACTCAGTGTAGTTATTTCCCCTTCAGCACACATTCACACTCTGTCTTACCTCAGTGAATCTTGTATATTCTGCTCCATATTTTAGAATAATAATAGTAATAAAAGCTGATATCCTGGATGAAATCACATAATTTACATTAAGTGTTGGATGAAAAATGTGCCTAGTGTATTTTCCCTTAGTAGATCTGTATTCATCCCTTGTACATTATTTAATACATTTATCAATTTGTCTTTTATAGGAATTCATAGCAAGTTATTGTTCTGTATGAATGAAGTCAATTCTTAAACTCTTCATGACGACTGTTATGTCCCGATAAGCAGCTATTACTCACTTAGTGGCTCAGTGGGATTAGTTGACCATTAATGAAGTAAAAACATCATAATTATATCTAGTTATTTCTTTTATAAAACACTCATGCACTTTTTTAACTAAAAAAGATGTTTTGACTTTGCAGAGTGTAGGGAGTCCTGTGAATGATTTGCCAGATTTTGTCAAACACAACTTTTTTGAATTTACGGCTGATACATGTTAGTTAATTCATGAAAACTGTATAATCTAGTATCTAGCTTGCCACACACTTGTAACACACTTGGACCTGAAGGAGCCCTTTTCTTCCCCCACATTCAGCAACGGCCTCCATCTGGTTTTACAGTCCAAATACAGAGACAGAGAAAAGCTCTGTTCCCCAGTGCCCCCCCCTCTCCTGCCTGTCACTGGCCCTACCTCATGTTGTGACATTAATTATTGTGTTTTTCCATATGTTCCATACATGCAAGGCCAAGATCCATCTTTCATCCATTCAGCCTGGAAACTTGGAACAGTAATCCCTATAAAGCAATGTTTTATTTAAGGTCATTTGTCGCAGTCTCCTCAGCCATTTATTTTTTCTTCAGCAACAGCACTTTTTACAAAATTACTTTTGGAGGAATTACATACTTTTCTATTCTTCCATAATGCACTTTCTGCACTTGCACTTCTGTAAAAGCTCAGTAGACATAAAATGCTTCTATTTATTTGGGTTTCAGTCTAGCTTTGCACCTCTGGACCGATCAATAAAGTAGTGTTAAGAAGGTTTAGCTTTCTAGAAAGTGGGTGCGTCCACTCCAGTGAGGGGGTCTACAGGGGGAGCAGAGCAGGCTGAAAAAGAGGAGATCATAGCAGACCTCAGCCAGAACATGGGGGGGGGAGTCTTTGCTCGGAGCAGGTTGATTTCATGCCCCAATGCAGCGGCAGTAATTGCACCCAGACCCGTTTTATTGCGAGTTGATTTTAAGGAGGGATGAATGGAGAAACATTCTGTAAAGTGTTTATTTTGGGGGATGACCTTTATTAACCCATTTTCCAGGCAGGTTCCCCTGAGGTGGCCTGGCTCATTGCTAGATTAACCCTTGCAGGTCTGTGGTAGCAGGGCTGCTCTTCATCACAGAGTTTCAGGAAGTAGAGGATGACAGTAAGATTGGAGCTTGCAACATGTGTGCAAAACCCTCATACACATACACACTGCTTCTTTGAGACACAAGGTACTCAGCCACCCTTAGCACACGCAAGCAGAACGTTTGTGCTGATATTCCCAGTAGACAGGTCTGCAACGGACTGACTGGTGAAGGTTAATATGTGAGGGGGAGACAGAGAATGACATTAAAAGGATTATCCAAAATTATGGAAGTGGTGGAGGTAAAAGGCTAATCAATTATGTCCTTGTATCTGTGTAATACACACACAAAAAGTATCTGGCCAACATTCTGTATCTACTACAACAGGAAGGGGGTTTATGAATGCATCTTTTACCATGTGCAGTACTTCTCCTCTTCACCTCTCTGCTCTCTGTCCTACATGTCACTTCCTCTAACTGATGTTGTAACAATGTGCATACGCGGGGCCTTTGATGTGCCGAGGTGAAATTGTGGTTTGGATTAAGAGCAGGCGTAGCTCGGCCAGGTATTGTGCGAGCACACGAGGGCCGTCATTGCCGCAAAGCCCCCTGTCAGCACGCGTTAGGGAGAGCTGTGATCTGGCCTCCCCCCCCTGAGTGGGCTCTGTGTTTCTGTGTACCATGACCGTGCTTAGGCCTCTCTCTGATCTCCGCTCTCTATCTGTTCAGCAGGTCCAGGGTCACATGCCTCCGCTCATGATCCCCATTTTTCCACACGACCAACGCACTCTGGCAGCAGCCGCCGCCGCCCAGCAGGGCTTTCTCTTCCCCCCGGGAATGTCTTATAAGCCAGGTATGCTTGCAACTTTAAGTCCTCATTTTCTCCTTCCCCCTTTGTCTCTTCTTTTTAACTTCCTTTTGTCAATGACTTATTAAGATAATGATTTAAAATCTGAAGTACTGCTACACTTGCATGACAAATACACAGCAACAAATAAACGCGTTGTTCAAACTTGCAGCTTGTCTGAACTTGGATTTGAGACAAAAGCTTAAGAATGTTCTAGGCCATGTGGAACAATAGATATGGCTGGAGAAGCAGAGGAATGTAAACATATATTCAACATGAAAGTATCTTTCAACAGTGAGGTGGCTGTAATTGTTTTTCAAGTGTTTGCTGTTTCAGATCCAATAACATGGCAGATAAACCCCAAAAGAAACCTCAGTCTAACGTTATATCCATACAAATCTAAAACCGTTTGAACAATAGTTCTTTCCCATAGTGAAATGAAATAATGAAAAGACAACTATAATACAGGTAGTTTGTGGATGATGCAAAGAACAGGTTTTCAGTAAGCATAACTCTTTTCATTGCCAGTTACAGCATGCCCCGTCTTCACATTTTGCTTTTTTACATGGACTAAAAGAGAAGCCCTTCACAGTCTTCAAAATAAAATATGAATGCTTTTTAAATGTTGCAATACGTTGACAGATGCCATGCTAAAGCAGTGAGATCACACACATTTGTATGTATGTGAATACTTAAGACATGCCACAACATTCAATGTTTAAGATATATACAAAAGAGGACTGTAACCACACTATTGCTTATTGGTGAAATACTGGAGATGAGTTAATTACTCATTCAATCCAAATACAATGAATGTCTTATTTTTTTTCTACTGATTCTCTCACCCACACATGTAAGTAGGAGAAAGTGGAGTGTTTGATGAAAACATCAGTGTTAAAGCTAGACAAATCAAGTAAAAGCAATTGTGTGTGTTTTAATAGAGCACCAGAAAAAGGAATATAACTAAAAAAAAAAGAAAAAAGAAACCCCTAGAAGTCAGCAGGTTCACAGCAGAACATTAAAAGGTGTGGTAATGCAGTTAATGAATTAACTATAAAACCACAGGATGAAAAAGAAAGTCAGCTATTTTGGAACTATGGAGCCATGACAGCTTAAACAAAGTGCCTGAGGGGGAGTCTTTTACCAGTGTGCTTTTTGCAATAGGTTTGACACAGAAAATGTTTTAGTTCAAATAACCGGAGCTATTATGGAATCATGGTCAGGGGTCGCCATGTGTACCCTTCCTGCATAATTCATGAGTTCATGAAGAAAAAGCAAAGGGGGTCTGAAAATGACTCTTGCAGTCAGGAGTGGTATTTTGAAAACCTCTATTATATCCTCCTGTTCAACACAATATGCACAATATATCCGCAGACTACAATGTTATCACCACCACCTGCAGGGTATACAGGATGCCGCCGTGTCTTTTCTCAATGAAGTGACTGGCCAAGCATTCACTTCCAAGACTAAGGCACACTAATCTGATGTTATCATTATGAGACAGCTACCAGGGACCACTGCTTATGACCCCCGGCCCTGTGGTGCTCACATGGCAACAGAGTCATTCTGGCACCGTGGTGGTAAGTCATCACCCTATCTACTGGCTGTGCTCAATGACGTGGTGTTGCATGGTAGACAAGCACAGTCGAAAAAACAACAACTCATCTTTTAAACAAATAGATTTGAGTTGGACTTCACTGTCTGTTCGCACTGTTTACACAGACATGGCGGTATTCAGTGTGATGGGCCTCTAATGGAACAGCAGAATGACATCTTAGTCTTTTGGTTCCTCTGCTTGTGTCCTTCATAGACATCCTGCTGATAGTTTAAGGTTCCCTGATCCCATGTTATTTCAGACTTTTTTTCCAATTTCTCTTATATTGTGGTGTTCGATATTTATTGTAGTTGGACAACTTCTGCTATAAACCAACTGAAAAACATTTGATGATTTAATTTTTGCTTTCTGAATGACCTTATGTAATCTGTTTTAGAATAAACGTTAAATATAAAATGATGTCCTTTGATATTTATTGTCATGTAAGCTTGTTTTCTTCTGTCAACAGCTATGGTAATTCAATAAAATTTAAAAGAGAAGATCAAGTTAGAGGGTTGCAGTAATGCAGTCTATTTGTCATCATTTGATCTGCTCTAAGAAAGGTCTTAGCTACATCTGTCAACTCTCTGCAGATCTATGACTAGTATTTCATTGCACCACATGAGGGGGAAATATAGACTGTTCTGACCATGGCGTCACCTGCATTGCTCCCCCCTCACTAACATCCAGAGTGGAGGCTCTGGGCATGGGACCAGCTTTAGCCAGTTAAAAAAAAACACGGTTTAAACTTAATTCCCTAGTGATGCTTACTTGGCATTGTGCCACTCTGATGGAGTCTGGTGCCTCTACATATACTCTTGTGCACCCGAGACCCAAACCTTGGAGCCCAGGACCCCCCGGCAGTGGTAGTGTGCTCACTTAGCACATGACCCCTCCCAGGTTTCACATGACATCTTAAAACATCCAGCCATTTATTATTCCCAAATCCTACGTCACAGACAGCACAGAGACAGAGAGAAAGCGATACCAAAAAGAGGTGTAGAAATAACCACAGTCCACCCCCCCCCCCCCCGCACATCCAACCCAACACTATTTGAAACCACTTCTGCTGTGTGATTTTATTTGCTACTAAATGGGGATTGAATTTCCATGGCCTGTATAACATTGTGCTGTGCTGTACAAGATTGCATAGTGAGGCGAACAGAGCGGGCGAGGGCAAAGTGAAAGAGAAGGTATATACATTTACCTTGTCTGTGGCTTAATGGCTCCATATGTTTGTGAGAAGAAGTGACAGGCAGAAGTGGGGTCTGAGCGAAGGCCAACTACCCCCCCCCCCTCCCCGCTCCCACTGTGTGCCCCACCTCCTCTCTTCCACACACACACAAACATGCTTCAAACTAACCTCCCCTCTATGAACGCTGGTCCACCTCGTCTCACTGGGGCTGTTTTGTCCGTCTCAACACACTAGCCTGAGTGTGTAAAAATGTCTGGTACTCAGTTATACACCCCCAATGGATATCACTCATACAGCAGCCGTTTTTATGCCCCTGTGACAAACGTGCTGATGGCAGGCCAACAGTAGTGAATAGTAATAAATACAGCTGCTATCCAGACACCAATTCTTTGTTGTTGATCACAGCGATATGTGAGATAAGAAAATGTGGGATTTTTTTTTCACCGTGTTATTGTGACTGCACACTTGTTCTAACCAGTCTGCATACAAGTGCTTTCACTCTGCTGCCAAAAGCTATCACTCAGGAACAAACAATGTAGTGTTGAACAATAGCCAGACAAGTCTTCAGCTGTATGAGCTACCTGAGAGAACATGCTGGTCCCTTTACATAACCACCAACTGAATGAGAGGGAACATATTAAACATTTCTTAGAAACCTTTAAGATAACGTGAGATGACGTGTTGAACTAGGTAGTAATTGTTGCGGTGGTGCAGTTTTCCACCAGTAGTACTGTGCAGGTGGAGGAAAGAGGGAATGGTGTGAAACATTCCTTAACAATCCCACTCCAGTCAATTCCAGCTTAGCCTTTTGTTAATGCAGATGTTTGGGCATGAAGCCGAGCGCACGTTGCAATGTGCCACATTGCAGTGGCAAACTATCCCAGGGCTCTGGGATCTGTGTTGGCACTTGCCTGGTCGCTTTGGGCCGACTCATTGTCTGAACCTGCATGCATTGTCGTCTCTTTCTCCTTCTCTGACAGGTGATAACTACCCAGTGCAGTTCATTCCATCCACAATGGCAGCTGCAGCAGCGTCAGGACTCAGCCCTCTCCAGCTTCAGGTATGTGCAGCACTATGACAAAGAATGCTAGGGACGCCCGCCAAGCCCAGGGCAGAAAGGATGGCTAAGCAGCTGTACGCTAAGTAATGAGCTGCACACTAAATAATCCTGGAGGCCCCCCGGCTCACACACGCTTATCACCTTACATATGTAATTTATCCTGTTTTATAGAGGATTTATCCCCACTAGCTCTGCCAGACAGAGGAGCTAGGAAGATAATAGTTATTAGAGGGAATGAGAATCACTTTGGTTGCCTTAATCGCCTGCCAGTGAATTTATCAGAAGACAATTGACTGTGTAAGCAAATAAGCTTCTTTCCTAGGCTTTTGTCCTGTAGAACCCCTGTGATTTCTTTCATTTCTCTGAGGAAAACAATTTAGGAGACAGAATAGACATAAATCTGAGTAATTATAATGTATGTCATACAGTACAGTATATATAGAGTATGTAATAGGAGCAAATTCATGGCATCTTATACAGAGTGAGGCTGAATGGGGGTTTGGAGCAACAGCAAATATTGGGATAGGCTCCAAGCCCTTCAGGCTCCTTCAAGACTTTTCTCACACAGCATTAAAAAAAAAAGCTGAACCCAGGTCAGGGCTTCACCTGAGGCGGTAATGCTAAATCTAGATAATAATCGGCGTTCTACCTTCAAGTTGTTGCAATAACAAATACTAGTGTGACCAGGACTTCTGTAAGCCTGTACATGATCTTTATTACCACATTGACAATGATTTCCTCCCTCTAACTTTTCAAAGGCTTGTATTGAGGGAGAAAAACATTGAAATAACAACAAAAATCTGAATAAGAACCACATCTATTCAGCTTCTGTGCTGCTGGTTGCTTCTCTAATAATCAGTTTCCTTGGCAGTTTTGAGTAACAGTAGATCTTATGACTATTTGAAACTTGAAATCCGAAGCCTTTTGCTGTTTCATCAACAACTGCGAAAGGTTATTGAAAGCTGCAACATGTGACGCTCAACAGCAGACAGAAGTGCGTCAAGATTGAACTCGAGACAGAGAAGGGAACTCTTTGCACACTGATATATGTGGCATTTGTCCTTCGGAGGCTACCACTGTCAGTTAACGAGCCTTGGCAAGTTGGAACAATGCATGCAGCTGGGTCTGAAGAGCAGTGCGTCATTAAGCTGCCACGACAAGAGCTATCAGAGTCATGTAAGGTGTTAAATGAGTCTGCTCATGTCTGAAGACGTGCGTCTGTGAGAGGAAAAGATCTGTTCTCTGCTTCTGGAGTGTGTATGTGTTGTGTATCATAGAGAGGTCCATTGGAAAGGAGTGGTAGTTCAGGCAGGCACACAGAGTCTATTTATAGTGGTGTATGAGGTCAGATGAGACAGTCATATATCTGAAGGTTGGGGTGAGCAGGGGAGACAGGTCTAAAGAGATTAATTCTGATTATGTATCTAACCCTGGGAATGAGCAAGAACAGTGCCTCCAAGACCATGACTTGGCTGACCTTTACAGAACACAGTAAACAAAAAAAGGTGCATTTTCCATTAATTGAAGTCTGTCAGCCTGTCACATATTCCGGCTGCTGGCTGCTATTTACCCTGCATAGTGACTCCCCTTAAAACAGCAAGGCAAGTCAAACATGCCCTTTTCTACATAGCCGGGATCAACAAACCATGTGACTGCCACCACTTCCTCTACAAAGCACTGGGTGCCGGCTATGATTAAAAACATCATAAGGCAGACATGGAATTAGGTTTGAGTTGTCTATCTCCTCCTTCTTGCTTTTGGAGCAATAACAGGACCAACCCTCCTGAATCTACTTCAAATTAAATTGAAAGTTTACGTCAATATATGTGTGTGCACTAGAGAAAATGGATTGATGAGTATAAAAGAAGACATATAAAGAATTGGAAAAATCATGTCTTTGCAGATGGCTGTTCGCCTTTGAGTTTGGTTTGGCTCCAGATATCTGCCTGTTAAGAGAAAGTTATTTTTTTCCACTGTGGCCCAGTGCTTACTGATGATTGTTATCTCTAAATGATAAAACAGAGAGTACCGTCTAGATCTTCTCTTATATAAACTGTTATGGGACAACTTTTGTTTTGGGACTTATATTGATTAATCCATATCTATAGTAATTTAGTTCCTTTTGCAATACTCTAGAATGTCTTACGGCATCTGGAGTAAAAATAAAATAAAAATAAAAATAACAAATGTTTTGGAATATGCACAATATGATTTAAACACCACTGGCAAGATCATCTGGTGTTGAAACAAGATAAAACTAAACTGCTGTAAGGTGCCCATGCAAATATTACAAATTTTTCCTTCAGTTTAATCTTCATGCATCATCAAGCAGGGTACACAACTGACCCTTTATCCACGGTCCTGCACTTCTCTAGTTTAATCCCTAAACTCATTTTTAATTTCCCCCTCACACACTCTTATAAACACCACACACATATAGCTGAAATGGCCACCCCCCAATTAAAAAAATCAGTTCCTGTCAGGTGCATGGCATGGTATAATTTTCCCCTATTTGCTTGGTTTAGATTGTGCAATATATGAGCCTTAAAAATTATCTCATTGAAAAAATTAATTCCCACAATGCTGCAGAGGTAATGTGATCAGCCATCCAGTCAGGGAGGCTAGCTGTGCTGTCAGTCTTAATGTTAGCCATGCAGCCTCCTCACATTCTACTCTGTCATAACAGTCTGGGATCCTCCCCTCATTTCTCCGCCCTTTCCCTCTAAGAGAGCAAAATCCAACAAGGTAACAAAGGCTTAGGGCTGATGGATGTAAATGAATCCACCACGATGCGTTTGAGTGTTGGAGACTGTAATTTGCTTGTCAATACAGGGTGGTAGCATCACTCTGGTGGCTGGCAGTCTGCAAGTGGCTGTCACCAGGCATTGCTGTACCACAGGGCAATTTCACTCAATGTTTTTCCTGACAGATTGGCTCTCGTCCTCAACTCGCAGGAGAGGAGGCGGGTAAACTATCCCAACGCGACATGCCCCTCTTCATTAGTGCCCACACAGAGCCAGGATGAGTCCAGGACCAGCAGGAAACAATAGCTCCGTCCCTGCCTGTCCTTTCTCGATTACAACTGACACCTCTCAGTGAACAGAGGAAATTGTGCTCAGATTGTACCCCAATCTGTCCGCTCACCTACTATATTCAATCAAGTGAGAGGGGAATTTCCCTAATTCTACAAAAGAATCTTCTAAAACTTAGATTGCTGTTTGTACACTACACCTTGCATCAGTTGCAGAGTGAAAAACAATTTACTTAAGGCCAACATGGTCTTAATATATATCACCCAGCCTTTTTACAGAACCACTAAACAGTAGGAGGACCTTTGAGAAAGTCCTATTTTCTATTATTGGAAGCAGACTTTGGGGTTAAAGTCATTTTAAAGCAAGCATTATTGGATAAAACCAAACATCTGGGCCTCTGTGTGCAGTAACACTGTTAGGACTAAAGAAATAGAAACCTTCTGCTTTCACTCAGTCAAAGCTCAGTGTTCTCTGTCCCACTGTTTCTTTTCAATTTTACCATCCAGATCTTGAACCTTCTATTAGTATCTTGGTTTGGGTAGTTCTTCTTGAATTCCCCTTCATTCTGCCAGTGTAACTTTTCACCCTGAAAAGTCCAGGTATTTTTCATCCTTGTGCCGTTCTGCTGTACAGTATTGGATGTAAAGCTGTTCCGTTCCAATCATCAGAAATAATGCTGCTGCCTTTTGCAATGGCATCTTTCTAGGCCCATGAAGACTTAGGCCCAGCTTCAGCTCAAGCTCCCACTGTAAAGATGAAAGCAGCCCACACTTTCAGCGACAACCTTGACCAGATCTCCAGCAGACGGACACATCTGAAGGAGTGCTCAGAGGCTCAGACAACTGGAGCGATAAGAAAGAGTGTAACACAGTCAGGGACAAACAGGAAGAAAGTGGGAGAGCAGCTAACCCGCACATTATCTTTTGTTTGGATGTAAATGCCTGTGTTGTACAGATGTGAGGAAACGGCTTCCATCATTAACAAGTGAAGCACTTTTGACTTTGAAACAGAGAGGAGGAGGAGGAGGGGAGAGAAGAGAGAACAGACGTACTGTAGAGAGCAGCTGTTTCTGTGTTTATGAGCAGAGGAGCTTGGTCTTTGAAGGTAACCCAGAACAGAGCAGCAATGCTAGCTGTGTGAAAGGATGGCTAATAGGACGGCTAGGTGAGCAGCTGGATGGAGGCAGTGGTGAACAGAGAGACAGATGGACAGATAGAGTGGATAATGCAGTGAGCTGCACTGAATGGGAGGGCTGGCTCTTGGGCCCGTGGGCCTGGAGAACCTACACACACACACACACTTACAGAAGATGGGTTTGTAGGCCTATGTGTATGTACCAGAGAGAAAAACCAATAGAGAAGGATTTAAACACATATACTGTTTATGTAAGATGGCGAAATAGAGAAAGGCAAGAGGAGGGGTTGGAGTGGAGCAGGTTGGATGCCAGCAGATGAGACAGATGTTGGGCCATACTGGAAAGCATCGGCACAGTGCACCAGGACGCCTTCCTTCACTCCTGACATCTGGGCCTAGCCTGGGTCAGACTGCCTGCTCGCCCTGGGCAATGAGCCTGTACAAGCCTTGTGGCTAACGGGGGCTGGCGCTGTGCTGCCTTTTAAATGGTGTGGTGCACTGAAGCACAGTTAATGCCCTCATATCCAGCCCAGTGCTCAGCGCCTAGGCCAGGCAGAGGTGAATGAGACATTGACAGACAGACAAAGAGACACACTTGCACACAAAGAATCAAGGGTGTGATTAGAGGAGTGTGGCATTCATCAGATAACCCTCCGCTTATGTTAAATGCACAAGAAAGTTAATTGGTATAAGGAATCATTACTGTATTAAGACAGCTTGTTCTTATTTTATAGTTTTGTGGGCCCAGTTGTAAATGTGCATAGCAGCGTCACTGCTGGCAGCAATAAATATGACAAATATCTGCCACTGTATTTTCCAGCACATATTGCCATGCTGCAAGTCTAAAAACAAGATGCACATATGTTTTTCCACAGAAAGTTATTTTGCTTTATACTACAATTAATACGCTCTGTTAGATTTTTTTTTTTTTAAAGTCTGAGATGTCAGCCTACATCATTAGAATGTGTTCTGCGTTTAATGTCGCAGGCAGAAAAGTGAACCTCCCTGTTTAACCTCTGCTGCCTCCAGAGGGCTTGTTTTTAATTACCAGAGGCTAACAGGCTGACCTTGGGCGTGCTGCACTGGCTTTGAATCCATGCTTGCTGAGATCTGCTCTGCTCTACAGGGAAACAGGGAATGATTGGGTCAAAAGGAAGACCTTACATTTTGTGTTTGTGTGTCTTCTCTTACATGTGTGTGCAGAACACTCCAAAGCACAAATAAGCACAAAAAAAAAAAAAAAAGAAAAAACATATATAATGTGCATCACGTTTTTCCTGCCTACACATTCACACATCGCTTTTGTTAGTTTCCTTTATCACTCACATTGGAAACCCATTAGCTATTATGCTCATGTTACTATTTTCTACCATGCTGGGTTCTGCTCAATGTTTTTTCATGAACATTAGTGTTATGTGTGTCCTAGAATATGTATTTTTTTCTAGATCAAATAAAGCAAAACAACCACTGTTAAAAGTGTAAAGGGAAAAATGGAAAAAATCTACAGAGGGTTCCAGAGCTCCACTAAGATTCTGATCTACATCTCCAACACCCCAGAGTAGGGATACTGACTTTCAGCTTGACCTTTACTACCATGAACCTTTTGCTGCCCCCACCTGGCAAGTAGATATGAAAAAGTGGCTAATAAATGTGAACGAATCATCTGGGAAATGCAAGCAGATGTCTGCTGCTTAGGGAGACCAGCCTTGGCAAGCTGCATCATCACTAAGTGTCTGATAGAAAAAAAACAACCTTACGGAACTGTGCAGGAAGTTTTTTTTATATAATTAAAAATGTAGAGGATATTAAACATAAAAGTTATTTTTAAATACTGAAATGCTAAGACAAAAGCCTCCAGACTTCACATCTGTATTTCATGTATGTATTTGAGCAGTGTGTGGTAGGTTGACACACCTTTCAACTGGCTTTCCATCTTATTTGTATTTATTGTTCTTTGCTCATGGAGGCAGATTTTTCCTGGTTAACAGGGGTAAGAACTGATTCTCACCCCATGGCACTGACCTGCTAATCAGGGCTGAAAAAGGACACCCTGACTGCGCCTAATTTGAGGCAACGTCTAATTGTGCTCTTTTTTTCTTGGCAATAATTTTCTTCTTAGTCTAAGTCATGGGTATAGCAATCAACAGTCCTGTTAGCAAACATATGTCCTATAGACTCAGCATCCTCTCCTCTACTTTGACTTTTGTGTAGCCTGGAGTGACAGGCAGAGAATGGAGACTTCTCTCTCTCTCTTTTCTCTGCTACTGTTTTTCTGTCTTTCTCCCTCTGTAAACTCCCCACATACACAAACACACACAGAACGCCTTTACTACTGACATTAAGCAAGTCGCGCTCAGATGAGAGGAAAAAAAGAGTTGGGTCTGCTCCTGTGTCCATTCCTGTCCGAGACAAAAGACTGTTTGTGAGGGAGGTGGGGGCAGTGCTATCTTTGTGGGAACATAATCAGTTTGTCATTTCCGCTGCCCATGTGCTGTTGTTATCCCCAGGTCCCTTGGAAGAATGGGCCTTTTGTACGGACACTTATGTGGCAGCGATAAAGTTTCTCACAGGAGAACATATGTGTTTATATCTGGAGATATGTGCATGGACATAAAGTGCTTTGTTTGGCTTTAGTCTGCTTTCACATTGCCGAAGGTGAGGCCAGCGGGGCAGAGTCGCTTTTTTCCAACAAAAGCAGTCTGTATGCGACCAGTTATACAAGGAAATGAGACAGGGTTTGCTGATTGGTCAGAGGAAGAGAAAATTAGATTCTGTGTGACAGTAACATCTAACTGAACAACACAACAAACACTGAGGTTGACCCAGTCTGAGGATAGCAGGCCAGTGGGGGAGTTAAAGGGTGCTATCTGTCTGATGAAGTGAGGGCGAAGGCTGCATGGAGTAACACTATTTCTCAGACAGCAGCACCATTTGAAAAACTCCAGTCATATCCAGCGGGAGACAAAAGCCAATTTCATCACTTACCTGGTGGCCAATCAATGAAGACCTAGGGAAGAAAGAAGTCTCAGCAGTGCAGGATTGCTGGGCTTTGTAACACACTGAAAAAGAAACACAAATATAATCAGTTATGTGATTATAAACAAATGATCGTTTGTTTCATTTTTTATTGATAGAAAAAAGGGTTACAATTCAGTTGCAGGCCATTAACTGTAACTTAATCCTGCATAAAGAAGGAATTACTGCGTCAAAAATCTGATCCAGAAGACACTTAGCAGTCTGTGGTTTTTTGAAAGTTATTTCCAAAACCTCAGTTCAAAATTTTCAACCATCCTTCCTAGTTTACCCCACATAATCAGCCCAGTGGTGGAAATGTAAATTGAGCTTCCAGTGTTCAACCCAGCTACAGGCACAACTGTTACAGAGTACTTACGCCTGTCATTTGAACCGTCCTCTTGTGTGGTAATGTCACCAACAGTCCGACATCTTACTGATTTAACGCCAAGGAAAATAATGGTGATTACATCAGCGCTCTCTGTGCAGGTTTCTAAGCCTTAATAATGCTTGTGTTTAACGTATTCTGTGATGGCCGTCCAACTGAGGTTGGGCTTGAAACATTGTGGAGTGGGGCTGTCTCACATGGCTGTGTGGAGACAAATCACAGGCCAGAAACTTCAATAGGAAGCAGAGTAGATGGAGAGAAATTGAGAGATCTTTGCTAACACACTTGCATCCAGTCGGCAAACTTTTCCCTGTGATGAGTGGAAAATAGGGGCTCCAAGTATTTTGAATGAAAGCCATCTCTGTGTGGTTTTTAAGACTGCTGTCTCTCTCTGGGTTCTGCCTTTGAAATACAGTTAAGACCTTTGATGGAGGTTCTCTGCCAGCCTCATGGAAAGAGAGGAAAGACGTAAAAGAGAGAGAGAGAGAGAGAGAGAGAGAGAGAGAGAGAGAGAGAGAGCGAGAGCGGGGGGAGATGAAGGCAGACTCAGAAGCAGAGAGAGTTCTAGGGAGAGGAAAAGACAGAATATAAAACTTTGAATGTTCACTGGATTTGGATGGTAACGCCTTGCAGGTTTTCTCCATGTCCCTACAGCAACTGTATGCCGCCCAGCTTGCCAGCATGCAGGTCTCTCCTGGAGCCAAGATGCCTCCACTCCCCCAGCCCCTCAATGCAAGTGGGCCCCTTTCTCCCTCCTCCCTGAAGAATGACAAGAGTTCCTCCAGCCCCATCACTCAAGTCAAGGTACGAACCTGAACTCGTCCACCATACTCACCCGCCAGCTGAGGCTTCAAGTGCTACTTGACCTAGCCCAGCCTAGTTGGTGTAGTTTGAATAAAAAAGCATCTACACTGTTCACCACTTCATGTTACAGAGTCCAGCCTCCAACAGGCCATCAATCTGTTGGGCTTTAATAAAGAGCTTTCTCTAAACCAGAACTCTGTAGACTTGGTTGCTATAGCGGGAGATGCTCCAAACCAGTAATTTGTGGAACATATGGTTTCAATTTTCTTCATAATTAAAAGTTGTTTCTTTCTTTTTGTGTGACATAAATGGTATAACACTATTACAACAGTGCTACACAAAGCTGACAAAAGGAAAGTAAGACGTAGGATTGACCACTGTTTCTGGCTTTTAAACAAACCAAATGCAGGATGTGTGTTTTCTGCTGCTGTATGGCACGACTCCACCAGACCTCCATGCAGAAGAAAGGCTGCATACATCATCCCCACTCAGTAAGGCCATAATCAGAAACATACGCCCATTTGGAGTAGTTTAGCTTAATAATATCACAATTGAGAGAGATCATAAATCATGTCCTGAATGGTAGTAACGCACTCTGGCTTTCTCTTCACACACACACACACACACACCCATGCACATACAGACAGACTATCATTGGGGCCTCATGAGATTTCAATTGAAAGTTTGCCATCAAACTGACATTTCATAGCTCAAATACAATTCTCCATTTATCAGATTACATTGATGCCAGTCAGGCCAATATTATTAATATAATAACTGGAGTCATAATATTACAAAGGTTGCCAATGATTACACAATTATGGATTTTAAATGAAATTAATCAAACATAAATGGAAAGCAAACATAAACTGGCATCATCCCATCTGGGTCCACAGTCCAATGGAATGAGATGCCTTTAGTTTTGTTCGTGTGCTTTCAGCTTCACTGCATGACAAACTGTTATTGGCACAGCAATAACAAGGCCTCGGGGCAGTCTTTGCTTGAGCCATATGTTTGGACAAGGAGACACTTGGGCTTTGAAAAAGACTCTTAATGATAGCATGCCATCATCTGATTCAAAAAACGGCTGTGTACACATGGCACCTTATATTGTGCAAAGTGACATTTCTGTACCGGGATTTTGTTGGAGATTTATATATTTAGAAACATTCAGTATTGGTTGTATTTGTTTACATGTTGGTTTTGGTGGATTTTGGCTTACAGGGCAGTGTATCTGTATCTTAATATAAAATTGATGATTAGCGATCTAATTTTGAATTTTGAATAAATATTAATAAATCAAATTTACATTATACTCAAAACTGTTTAATTTTTTATTTTCCAAAGATAAGAAAATAAGACTTAGATTATAGGTGTCAAGGTTGTTTATTGTCAATTAAGAACATGCAAGAACATGAAGGGAATGAAATGCTGTACTCTTGGCAATGTATAAAACTTTACTAGCAATATTATGAAATAAAGCAATTATAAAAACTCAAGACTCAGAGAAAAAACTATTAACAATAAATAAAAACTATACCTTAACATGCTAACTTAACTGAGAAGCATTCCTTAAAATATCCAGTGTCTACCTCCAGTAGCTTATCTGCAGGTTAGCCATAGATTGAATATATTTCATTGCTGTTGAAAAACTGCTGAGCATGGCACCCTGCATTCTCTGAAGGATGCAACCAGCTCTGAAAATGCAGCACCAAGCACATGTATCCTGCTCTGACCTGCTCTCAGAACTGACCTTTAAATCTAATCACATTATACTTTTTTAGAAATAGGCATATCAAAGCATATGATAAAACAAAGTATGCACAAATGAGAAATCAAATTAGAAAACAAGTTAATGAAGTAGATAATGCAAGTCGACATCTGATGAATGGAACAGCTGTCTTTGATCATTGGCACCGCCGTTATATGGTCATTATTTATTCTTCGAACCAGAGTGCAGACACAGAGAGCGGGGAGGAGGAGAAGAGGGAGAACAGATGAAGATGTACAGAGAGACAGAATCTGCTTTAATTAGTGTGAACAAAGGCGCTGGGCAACTGTGAGGAAGATCACAGTGGCACAGCTCCTGAGGAAGGATGGATGAGAGGAGAGGAGAGGAGAGGAGAGGAGAGGAGAGGAGAGGAGTGGAGAGGAGAGGAGAGGAGAGGAGAGGAGAGGAGGTGTGGGTCAAGACAGGGATCCTATAATTAACCAGAAACAGAGGAGGAACTGTGCTGTCTGGGAACCCTGAGCTGGGAGGAGGGGGGGGGACGGGACACCTTTTCACATCTGTCTCCTCTCACACTTCTCTCTCTGCTGCCGTAGGAGGAGGGCACACAGCCGCTCAACCTGTCTGCTCGGCCAAAGACGACAGACCTGGTGAAGTCCCCCACTTCCCCGACGCAAAACCTGTTCCTCGGCAGTAAAGGCAGTCCAAACAGCTTTCTCAACAAGGGCGGGATCCCCAGTCCACTTGGAGGCCTGGGCCGGGGCTCATCTCTTGGTAAGACCTCAGAGTGTCTTTACAAACCACACATACACACAGATTTGCACTGTTGAAATGTATAATACCTGAAAGCGAGCAAAATGTCAGGAATAAATGTTTTTTCACCAATAATACGTGTTTTTTTTAATCTTACTGATATTGGAAGCATACTCGAAGGTGGATATCGGAATCAGTTACAGGAAGGACATAATTGTATCTGAACATCTCAAATTTTTTGCTGTGTTTGTATCCGTGTAGATATCCTGTCCAGCCTAAACTCTACTGCGCTGTTCGGGGACCAGGACACAGTGTTGAAGGCAATCCAGGAGGCTCGGAAAATGAGGGAGCAGATCCAGAGGGAACAGCTGCAACATCACCAGCAGGGCATGGAGGCCAAGCTGTCCGCCCTCAGCTCAGTGGGCCTCAACAACTGCAGAGTTGACAAGGTTAGGACTACTATCAAACAGCCTGTCTCTGTTACAGGTCTTCTCCATTGCAAGATTTTTCCATAAAACAAAACAAAAGAGCTGTTGACCACAAAGAGTGTTCAGCTCCTGCTGCACGTGGTTCAGGAAAGAAACTATTAGAGAAAGTGGAACATGGTAATGTGGATATAAAAGTAATTCTTAAGATTAATATTTTTCTTTAATCCAAGTCCATGGCGGTGGTATTGATAAGAGCTGGCATAGTTCAGTGTGTAGATGTTTTAGTTAAATTAGTGTGTGTGTGTGTGTGTGTGTGTGTGTGTGTGTGTGTGTGTGTGTGTGTGTGTGTGTGTGTGTGTGTGTGTGTGTGTGTGTGTGTGTGTGTGTGTGTGTGTGTGTGTGTGTGCGTGTGTGTGTTCAGTGGGCTTGGCCTTGTTGATGCTGGTGTGAGGGCCGTGACAGGCCATGGCGCTGCCCGGTGTGGGCTAAGAAGACTCTGAAGTCTTTGCCCAATTAAGGCAGACTCGCAGCCCTCTTCGTCCCCTGACATGGGACAGGGCTGCTTTGTACCAGGAGCACACACTCCCAGGGATTCCCTTTAAAAATATCTTCAATCGATGAGTCAATCAAGGAGAAAAAAAGCTGTCCTCTCTTCAGCTTGATGCCGTGTTGCCAGTTGGCTGCGAGGAGCAGGCAGGAACTGGGAGCGATGCTCATTAATATTTCAGCACCTGACACTTTCAACCAAAAGCTTCAACTAGGTCAATGTATATGTAAAAAAGTCAATGAATATCTATTTTGATTTCCCTTTAATTTGGTGTTTTGGAAGAGATCGCTGGCTATGCAGGTGGCAATCAACTATGCTCTGCCTAAAGGGAAGTGAATACATTAGTACAGCCCACGATGAGGACAGAGGCACCGCCTCCCCTGCAGATAGCCCTTATTTACCTGAACAAACATCTTTACAATCAATCTATCATATTATTAATGTAACAATGTCTCCGTTAAATAAATGAAAAAGTAAAAGGGAATATGGCATGGAGCAAAATTAAATCTTTTATTTGTACCACAAAGCATTAGAAGCTTTTAGCAAGAGTATGCAAGCACTATTCTGTTCCATCACAGGAACTGGTGCAGCTGTCTCCCTTCATCCCAAATAAAGCGAGCCAGTGGTCACCCAAGCAGTGGAATCTGCCATGACATGAAAGAAGTAACTGAACACTGCTCACAAAGAGCCGTTTTCAACAGGCAGCACACACCTACAGCTGCATTGTCCTTAACAGGTAGAGCTTAACGCATTTTTCACTCCCTGCGTCTTAGGATTTAGTTTTGTTTCCTCTGAATTCTTGGGCTCTCCTGTTCAACCTTTGTTAGAACGATCATCCTGATTAAGTGGGGAAAAAAAGCAAAGGGACCTTCAGCTTAAATAAGTCACTTCTAACATGCAGTCTACCTTTTGTTGATGTTTACCGCATTGAGGAGAGAGAGAGAGAGAGAGAGTGTGTTTTAAAGAAAGTGGGAGAGAAACAAAAAAAGAGACAGTGTGTTACTTTATGTGTGTATTTGGGGGCAGGGAAGTGAAGGTGATGAAAGTATAAAAGGGACATGAAGTAAAATTACTATTAAAGAAATGACAACTCTAATAGGATCAAAATATTGACAATGCATTGAAATGCCAAATAATAATAAAAGCAGCCGTCTAAGGTGGGGAATGTGAAATTGAATGCATTACCTCTGGTTATATTTTCTGTTTTTAGTTTAACATAATTCATTGTGTCGTTGAATGAAACCTTAACCAGGCTCATGCTTGACTCTGGCTCGTGCAAATCATAGTGAGATATCGTCACCTCTTAGTTTCTGTGACACTGGCCCTATTAGGACAGTGTGAAATGAGAGGCCCCCTTTATCAAGTCAGCTAAAAGAATCGCCCCATCATCTTCATCCTTCGGCCGCAATAAAGAACAGTGGGTAGTAATTCAGCGGCGAAATGAGCGAGAAGGAGAGAGAGTCTTTTGCTGATACAAGCCAACGAAGTAGAAAGGTTTGAACGCCCCAGATAAAAGCTTTCACTTTGGTCAGTTTCAGATTATTAATATTTCACGAAAGCACCTCACCTGACATAAATATGGCGTGGTCTTTAATAGCTCCCCTCCCAGTCTCTTGTTTGGAAGTTTATCATAGTGAGAGCTTACATGAAGAAGATTCTAGAAAGGTAACATAAATGGGATTAAGGAGAGGTTAAGATCATCCAGCGTGGCTGTTAGAAGGGGATATTAAATATTGATTTATCCCACTGTAATGACCGGGTAGAGGAGTGGTTCTAAGTGCTGCTTACAGATGAATCAATTCATCTTTTCATACAAAGTGTGTCTGAAGAGTACAATGCATCCCTCCCTAACCTTTAACACTAGGTCTCTAGCTATCTCTCTGTCTCTATCTCCCTCTCTCTCCTTGCCCAGCCATTGACCTAGGAGAACATGGTGTAGGGAAGACTCTCTGTCCAACAGTAAACAAGCCTTTAACCTGAGACCATGTAAAATATTCATGCTTTAGACAAGTATATTTTCTTATCTTTTTATTTGTATGTTTTTACGGTATCCCATCAGTACAATAAAACCTCTTACAAACCTTCTGCAATTTACCTTTTTGAAATATTTATCTAACGGTATTATTGTCTGCAGAGGGCAATTACTTTGTTCCATTATTTATCCATCTCCTCCTAACCCATTGGAAGCTTTTACCTAGAATGTGCCAGTGTGCCTTCAGTCAAATACGCTACAGTACTTCTGAATCCATTTGTAACCATTTGAATTGTTTCCCTCTATTATTCACTGCAGCTATATCTGGACATGCTGTTTTTCAGGGTCACGGGTGAATAAATATCAAGTGTATCTGTCTGTCCATTAGTTCTCGGATGGTGCATTCAGAAAGTCAACCATGTTACCATCTTGTTATCAACAATTTTGGCCATATGAAATATAGGGCCAATAGATCAGAGATGTATTACTAAACCCATTCATTCAAAATGCATTTATGTGAACTTCAAGAATCCAAGAAGCACTTTTGTTTTAAAATTACAATTATAAAAGGTTCACTGCATTGTTGCATGTTGACAAACATTGCTTTTTTTAGATCGTGTAAACTGTAAGTTGCTGACTACCTTGATACTGAGACTGTCCCAAGAAATAATGCTCCAAAACTACAATTATTTACCTTTATGTTGGCAAGTAAGCATAAGACAGAGATCAAGGTGGTTGGAATAGTCAAACAAATATTGGACTTTCACCTCGAAGTCTGGGTCAAGACCTAACCAAAGAGCAGCTCTTACATGTTATCCACATTTTCCACATACGTTTGCTCCACATGTGGCCTGAACATTCCTGTTGTTAGGATGGAGGCACTGATAAAGGGAGTCCTCCTGTGGGTTGTATCAGAGGGCAGGGACTAAACACTATTGTGCTAATGTGGCTGAGAAGACTTATGTACCACTAGTTTCAATTTCAGCAATAGCAAGCTAATTCAATTTTCAGCCTTGGCAAAGTGTGTCTACCCTAATAAAAACAGACTTTTTTGGTACATTCATTTATTTGGTCGTCCTCCAGCAACATTTCCATTCGCCCTGATTCGCCATGCAATTGAATAGCTTGCCAGTGTTTTTTGCACCTGCATCTCTATAAAGAACCACCAGATAAGTTAATGTAGGATACCCTTGTGGTTAATGCCCATGTGTTAAATACATTCACATAGGTTAAACTTTCAGTCTTATCTGTCCTATCATGTACATTAGCAGGTCCTTGACCTGGTGATGTCCAATGTAAGCTGTCAGGGAAAAAAAACCTATCATACAGAAGGGACAATTCAAGTATATTTGGGCCATTGGTTGACTCTGTCATTTATAGGTCATTTATAGGTCCATTCAACTTTGCATCATCAGACATGACACTGCTCTCCACTGATACCTCAACTTCTTTTAATATAGGGGCAACAGACATTGCAAAGTTATGCCCAGGAGGTTGTGTGAGATGAAATATATTCCTGTGCTGACATGTGCCTAACTGGAATCAAAAGGTGAAAGGCCAGTGTATTAACCTATTGAACTGCCCTTTTCTGCCCCCGGCCACATCTCCTCTCCTCAGTATTGATGACTACAATTGTCCATTTCCCGTGTCCCAAAGCTCAGCCTGTAAATATTCAAATGGAGCTTACATTGGTGCTCCACAAAATCGAGACTCCTAACCTATTGGTTGTAGTGCTATACTGTCCCTCCTGTGTGTGCATGTACGTGTGTGTACATATACATGTGCAAGCATGTGTGTGTGTGTGTGTGTTTGTGTGTGTGTGTGTGTGTGTGTGTGTGTGTGTGTGTGTTGCCAGGGTTCTTTTCAGGCAAAGCCCTCACAAAGACTTTGAACATAATCTTGTCTGGTCTGCAGCCCTGGAAGCAATTTTCTGCCCCTTTTCGACTGCTGTCTTGGAAATTGCAAACCAAGGCGTTTTGGCTGCAATGTAAATCCTTGGCATACAAGGGTTTGCCCATCCAAATTAGATTATGCCCAGCTCCTAGACACTAGCTGTAGCCAGCAAGTGCTATTGTGAAGATTGCTTACATTAATGCTTTGTCCAATTGTTCATGTTTGCCAAAGAATAAAAATAACGTGTGACTCTGGATAATATGTGTTCACGTGTGTGTCCGCGGGCTCCTTTCCCAGGTCAGGTCTTTTGCTCCGTCTCGCCTCTTCCCCAGAAAGACATCAACACAGCATCTTGGTAGGGTCATCTGGCAGTAGTGGCTCCATTATTTTCTACACTTGTCAGTTAACATGGTGGATTTCTGGCCTGCTGCAGGTGCTTAGAAATGCTGCTGGCCACAGTGACTAAGACCTGTGATACCGCACTCACCATGAGGCACACACAACAGAGCAGGAGGGAAAGAATAGGCCACAAAGGACCATTTATAATCTATGGTATTGTTGCAAAAGGAATAATGGCTCCAGTGTCCAACAAGTCTTCGAGGTTTTTGT